AATAGATCGATTTCAATCAATCCGATTTTAAATCGATTCAAAAATCGATACAATTAATGGAGATCGCATATCCCTATCTCCAATTGATTTCTCAAAGGATATATTTTTTTCTCTTGAAATATCAGATATTTTTAATACTGCTTTTTCAATGGTTTCGAAACCAGTGCATTTATAATTATTCATCATATCTTATATATATATATATATGTATATATATATATATAATAGTTTATATTTAAAATACTAATCTTTATAACAATTACAATATTAAGAACGTAAGTTTAATTCTAATTTTATTACAATAATTATGATTGCAATATCTAAGCTATAATGAATTAAATTAAAAGTAAATTAATATATTAATGAAATAACTTTTTTACAACAAATTTGAATTTGTTTTCGTACCAGGGAGATTATTCAGATGCAGCCATTGGTTTCTCTTGATCATGTGAGGGCAATGTAACTATTTTTATGTTATTGAATAGTTTCTCACACTTAATTATTCGAGGCTTATGTTGCATAACTTTTTTAGATTTATAACCATTTATAGTCTTTAACTTCGTTATAGGATTGTTGTATATCAAATTTCTTTTTATTGCAGAAGAATGCTTCATACTTTCTATATAAAGATGTAATTATATTATTACAATTTTCTTTGAAAAAATAAAACAAGAATTCTAAAATAATTTTGTTAGCATCAAATATATAAACAATACCAATTTTTTTTATTCCAACGGTAGTCTGAAAAGTTCTCGGCCTGACACAGAAATGACACCATAAATATTAAGCTGTTATAATTTTAAACAAGTTTGATTCTTCACAGGACTGCTATTAAAATTTCAAACAGATGCGTTCATTAGTTTCTTTGTTCCGATCGTATAGAGCAACCAATTTTTCAATCCATCATGACAATGCACCAGCTCACATTTCTTTACTTGCAGTCGCAAAATTCCATGAATTGTTTCCGCAAACACCGTATCTTACCAGATTGTCAGATCTATTGAAATACGGTGTTTGTAGAATCAATTCAAGGAATTTTGTGACTGCAATTGAAGAAATATGAGCTGATGCATCGTCATGATGAAATCAAAAGTTGGTTGCTTTACACGACCGAAACAAAGAAGCTAATGAACACATCTATTTGAAATTTTAACAGTAGCCTTGTGGAGGATTAAACTTGTCTAAAATTATAGTAGCATGATATTTGTGGCATTATTTTTGTATCAGGCTGAAAACTTTTCAGACTCACATAATATAATGAAACATTTGTAACTTTTTACAAACTTTATAGAAATTTGGACAACGACAAAGTCGCGTTTATAATTACAGCGTCTATTTTAAAGAAATGCTGGATTTAAATTTTAATTAATATAAAAAAAATTAAAAAGGTATTAATTTTAAATAACTTAAATTTCTCTGCTTTAAAACAAATCTGCTTTAAAAACACAAATTCACTGTTTTAAAGATACAAATTATTTCTTTATATTATTTTTAAAGCAATGAATTTGTTTTAAAAATAATGAACCACTGCTGTGACAGATTTCCTAACCTAAATAGTCGTCAACTTTAATAATATATTTTGATTCGCAGAGCAGCGCGACACTTTTTTCTTGTCAAATCTTTATTTTTACGCGAAAACACATTGATTCAGTGTATTTTTATTAAAATTTGAAGTAAACGAGATCTTCTTAACATTAATTACCATCTGCAGTATTCCTGGAAATTAAACTACAGACAAGACGGACAAGACAGTTCTATAAAATCCGTTTTCAATTCTGATGGAAAAATTTCATTGAAATTAATTCCCGTTTTGGAACAGCATTTCAGAAAAAATTCATTTTAATTTCAGCGATTTTTTGTTGAAAAATTCATTTTCAACAAAATTTGAGTAAAATTTCAGAGAAATTTTAAGAAAAGTTTCCGAAAAGTTTCTACAGAAGTTCAGAGAAATTTCAGTTCAATTTTAGCAATTTTTCAGTATGTCAGCTGAAAAATTAACTTTCAGTGAAATTTCAATAAATTTTTAATCAATAATTTCGCTAAAATGTTCCAAACATGGAATAATTTCGAAATTTTTTCACCAAGGAATGCACTTCAAGTCGAAATACATAAATCACAGCCTGATCATACAAAAGATAATATAATAACACATTTCTTAAAGTTATACTTCTCAAATGCAGTGTTTCTATTGGAGAATCCAACGGAAATATTACGAAAACAGCCGAATATCAAATAAGTTCAACCTTAAGATTATCTTCGTCAAGACAACCTTAAATTAAACAAGAATTCCTTAAGGGCTTACATATGTTTCTCGAACTTGAAAAGTAGTAAAAATGTGATGAGAAATTGTAAGAAAACTATTGGGCTAATTGATTTCATTTTTTTTTTATTTTAAACGTGGACTCTTAAGGAGCATAAAACGTATAAATAAATTTAAAAAATAATTAAAAACATGGCGGCTGCGTCCAGTGGAGTAGAACGTATTTTTTTGTATCGTGTCAAACGGAGGGCACGATTCAGCTCGTAATTCTTATCTGAAACAAAAATTTGAAATTTTGTATCATTTTTTAAAATCATAGTTCTCATGTGACGAGAGAAACTTAAGAAAAAAAAAAACATTACGGAAATGGTCATAATTTGAAAGAAAAAAGTCGTAATTTTCGAGTGAGGGCCGATTGCGCACATTAACAATCGGACACGACAGGATTTCCCGATCGGACACGGACCCGATCGGACACGGACCCGATCGGATACAGACTCGATTACACGCAGACCCAATTACGCACGACCCGATCGGACACGGACCCGATCGGACACAGACTCGATTACACGCAGACCCAATTACGCACGACCCGATCGGACACAGACCCGATTGGGCACGGACCCGATTGGAATATTTTTCTAGAAAAATCTAACCCTAACCAAACCATTTGTTGGTATGAGGTAGCCCTCATTTCGCGTGGAAAGTTGTGAGCTGTAGGCAATAATGTATGTAGACAATCGAGCTGTAGCCAATAACACATGTAGGCAATCGATTTGTAGGCAAACGGGACGCTCCCTGTGCAAACGTGTCTGCACGCAATTGGGTCTGTGTGCAATCGGATCGGTGCACAATCGGATCCGTGTCCGATCGGATCTGTGCGCAATCGGGTCAGTGCGCAATCGGGTCCGTGCGCAATCGGGTCTGTGTCCGATCGGGTCCGTGCCTGATCGGGAAATCCTTTCGTGTCCGATTGTTAATGTGCGCAATCGGGACGCTCCCGTAATTTTCATTAAAAAATTGTCTATTTTTATTGCTATTCGATAATGGTTAAATTTAATCAAAAATGCTCTCGTGACACGATAGTGAATCTTATTTAGAATACGTAATATTAAAAATGAAGTTAATCGGACGAACGATGAGGCAGTTATCATGCCCACCGTTCTGAAAAATGCTATTTCGAGAAAAACGCGTTTAAAGTTTTGCAAGGATAAAATAAAAAATTTTTACTTACGCTTAATCAGCGATGCCTGCACCATAAAGTTGGCCCTCCTCTGCAGTATGACCCTCTTCTGACTGCATCTGCTCTATACAGGGTGATTTTTTTAACATGAAACTTTCAAATATCTCGAAAAATAAGCACACTAAGAAAAAATGTTAAGAATCAATATTCCGAGGGTGACATACACTGATGTTAAAATCAGCCCCCCCCCACCCCGCCCCCTGGGCGGTGAGGGGGCAAGTTTGAAATCTTAAATGGGAACCCCTATTTTTTATTGCATATTCGGAATCTTTGGCTAAAAGCACATACGATTTGTCTGAAACATTTTTCTCGATTCATGATAGATGGCGCTGTAATCGACAAAATTCAATTTCTTCGATTTCTCTTACTAACAATAAGAACTCATGCTTACGATTCTGCAATACATTAAAAATACCACGTTTTCATTGTTAATACTCGAAATTAGTCTTAAAACTTCTCATTATTTTTACTTACTCATTAATTACTTCTCAAGAAACTACTTCTAGCGTAACCCAGGAACAACGACGTGGACGTAGTAATTTTCTGTTCCCTTCGGGGTGCTTGATTAACGTGAGTCCCCTTGCCTCTCACAGTTCGGGGTGCTCACAATGAAAACGTGGTATTTTTATTGTTAATGTATTGCAGAATCGTAAGCATAGGTTCTCAGTAAGAGAAATTGAAGAAATTGAATTTCGTCGATTACAGCGCCATCTATCATGAATCGAGAAAAATGTTTCAGACAAATCGTATGTGCTTTTAGCCAAAGATTCCGAATATGCAATAAAAAATAGGGGTTCCTATTTAAGATTTCAAACTTGCCCCCCCTCACCGCCCAGGGGGCGGGGTGGGGGAGCTGATTTTAACGTCAGTGTATGTCACCCTTGGAATGATGAAATATTGATTCTTAACATTTTTTCTTAGTGTGCTTATTTTTCGAGATATTTGGAAGTTTCAGGTTAAAAAAACCACCCTGTATTTCGACGACAATACACCCTGCCGGTAACCCCGGATCTACAATAGGTGTTTTAAGCCTTTAGCCTTCTGCTCTAAGCCTTAAGTGTGACGTAGTTTCCGGCCTGAAATGTTTCCCGCGCTGTCCTAAGTTGTAATCTCTAAGCTCTAGGCGTCGTCTACAATACACGGAGTAAGAAATAAGAGTAAGAAATTGACCAATCACAGTCGATTATTCTTCTCACATTCGACTGTGATTGGTCAAT